AGTTTACATTTATAAAAAAAACGTTTTCTCTTGACTCTCAAAAAAATATGTCGTCGGCTACTCTTAGGCCATCATCAGAGTCAAAACGGCGTCCTCGAAATTTTTTTTTTAGTAATCGAAAAAGATAAAAGTTAGACGGAACCAAGTCTGGACTATAGGGAGAATGGTCTGTCTTAACAAGGCTGTAAAATTGGCTTAATTTTGGCAGCCCTATGCACGGTCGCATTGTCATGCAGCACAAACCCTTCTCAACTGCTGTCCGGTGTTCATCGCAACTTCAACCTCGAGTTAGTTTAATGTCTAAATATTACAATACACATAGCTTTGTAAGTACGATATTTTTGTTAGGATTAATGTCGGTAGGCTAAGACTTAAGAGTAGTGGAAGCGATCCTCTTGACCTAATCTTATAAATGTAGAATGACCATCAATCCATAGTTAATTAAATGAAGTAAGATGCGTTTTATCTAATAATTAATAATCATTATTGTAATTATGATTAGTTAAGTGTTACAATAAATAGTCATACATCACAGTAGTATGGCGTTTGATTCAGTGAACCTTCATCAACTAAAGTTTCAACCTATCCACGAACGTACATTTTTCCATTACACAATGGAAAAACTCAAATTTCGATTGTATCAATGACAACAATGACAGAATAAATAAAAATAAAAAACAAATAAAACAGTTTTATTTTGTACTCAATGTTAAAGAGTGCTTTTATCAATTAATTTCAGTAGATAAATTAGTTTTTTATCGTCTGGTGAAGTAATAGTTATTTAATATACAAGACGATAAAGAAATTGTTTATCTACGAGTGAAAAGGTTAAGTTTACGAGTGACGAAGTCACGAGCGGACTTCTTTCACGAGTAGATAAACAATTTTTATCGTCGTGTATAACATTTCGTTTTATTTTGTATTCACCTACCAGAATTCCTTGAATTAAACAGTAGATAAAAATTACTTTATTTCACTAGACGATAAAAGACTACTTCATCTACTGAAATTAGTTGATAAAAGCACTCTTTAACATTGAGTACAAAATGAAGTATTTTTTTCATATACTCCACTTTGACTAGTGTATTCATCAGCAAGACACAAGAAATTCTGGTCGGTGAGTACAAAATAAAACGAAATATTATACAGAACGATAAAGACTGTTTAACTACTCGTGCAAAAAGTCCACTCGTGACTTCGTCACTTGTAAACTTAACCTTTTCACTCACAATTTCTTTATTGTCCTGTATAATAAATAACTATTTTTGTATACGCTCCCGAAAACAACTGTTTTAGGGACTTATTTGAGTCTTTTCCGGACTCATTATAATAGTACCGAAAACGGTTATTTTAGTTACTCAGTCCACAAAAACAGTTTTTGCGGACTAAAAAATAAGATTGGTTACTATGGTAACAATTTTTTTTTAATTTGTAAGAGGTGTGAATTCGTATTTTGGGAGCTTTAACAAGAAAATCTTGTATGCACCACGTACGCAAAAGGTTTTAGGTGACTCCTCTCATTAAAGACTCGGCTCCTACGTCCTCATACTTGATACATAAATAACTATTATTCTCACCTGAGGATGAACTGAAAACAGTTGCACAAAATACAGTTTTGTGAGACTGTTTTTTGGCGACATTTATACAAAATGCTTTGGCTATCACACTGGCCATAGACTGTCGTTTTTAAGTAAGTAATTGTTGCATTTCAACGTATTTCACCGAAACTAATGCAATTTTAATAATAAATTCAATTTCAAAAGCGCTCAATAGAAAAAGTAGTATAAAAAACGCGCGTTACAACCTCTCATAGTGATACTCGTGCATTTGAAACATTCGCCACTGTGTGGCTTGTGTCACGAGTTACCTAAAGTCTGTTTTTTTTTTTAAATGGAAATTACCAAGTCAAAATTTTGGTGAAAAAATTGGTAGCAGCTTGTCTCCATAGTCACAAATTTTGTTTGCTCTTTGTTTTTGTCCCCAGAAATTTTGTTAAAAAATTATGGTTGTTTTCAAATTGAGATGTTGTCAAAATGTTGACTGTTATGAATCTTGTGTACCTGTTTGCTCTTTGAAAGCGCTATAATTGGATACCTGAAGATAGACATCATTACCTAAGATCTAAATACCGAATTCAGTCCTAACAATTTTGATAGAAACACACCGCAAGTAAGTTGTGGACAAAAAAGATGTTCTTGCTACAAAAACTTTAATGAAAAAGGATGTGTATACAGAAAAAAATTATTCAGCAAAAGATACAAGTAGGTATTATGATGATAGGAAATAAATTTTGTGTAATTTATTGAAATGAGCTCAAAGTTGATGCGATTTATAAATTCTTCAGCTTTAGTTTCAAAATTGTTACTTTTTCAACTCGTTTCTCAAAAACGATGAACAAGACATTAATTTAATTGCGTTCTTTCCAAGGTTCTTTCTCATTCATGTTTATTTTGTATTCTTGTCAATTTCTTGTTAAAACTTGAGAATGTTTAGCAAACCTGCATTACAAATTGCGTCTACATTTTAACAGGCCCTTTTTCAAACTTTCTGCTTGCGAACTATTCGTTTTCAAATTTCTAAAAACTGTTAGCAGTACCGAATTTGTTCCTTTTTTGATGTTTCTTCTCTAATTTTCTTACACGATTTTTTGTGTTGACGTTTAATGACATTGTTTTCAAATTTATTCAAAAAACCGAAACTCCCAACTTCCTTTATTAAAATTACCATGAATGAATTTACTAGTGATGCCAACGTTAAGACATTTTGGCATTTCCATTTAAAAAAAAAAACAGACTTTACTCGTATCAAAATGAAAGTGTTTGTAACATTTGTTTTTTAATATAGTAAACTATTGTCACAACTGGCATTAAATTTAAAATTTAACAAAAAGTTAAATGCATTCGAACGACGAAAAAACAGATCTAATTTTCATTTACGGCGAATGTGGGAAAAATTCTTCTGCCGTTGAGCATTTGTAAAGACAGTATTTCTCGAATGGAAAAGCACCAAAAAGGCTTGAATAACTAAAGTGTTTTCCAACCGTGAAAAGACAAATAACCTTAAAACTTGTATTTCCTGTTTTGTCAATTTCTTTGTGTCAGTCACGCGATAACTATGTTTTATTAATTTAAAAATTCATAATCAAAATCTATGAATCCTATGCAGATGTATTCCTGGCTGCATTTCAAATTTGCTCGAGCTTAAAACGGTTTTGGTTTTCGATTGAAATGTTAAAAGCGCAACAAACGCAAATTAGAAATTTTGTTTTTTTTCCAATAATTTAAAAACTAAAAGTGACACGTGAAATTTTCGTGCAGATAATTGTTAGCATCAAAATGCGCAACTTTGCCCTAAAACCGACTTCGTATATCTTTTATAATAACTGAGATTCCCAAAGTGGAGCTCTAAAAACGGCCATCCTGTATAATGAAACTATAAAAAAAACGTTAGTACAAAATTTCAAAATATGTAATATTTCACCCAGATAACATTTTTTCGGCGTAGCATAATTTGACCTTATTATCATTAGGAAAATTTTGATAATGCAATTAAAATTATGAAAATATGTATGTACCTTTACAAAACATGCATTAATATTTCACCGGAAAATTGAAAGGATTTTAACACTTCCACTTTTAATTTGTAAAGTGCATACCTATCAATTTAAGAATTACATTTCGCCTTATAAAAATTATTTACGGAAAATTTTCGAGAGAAAATACGTAGTTTTATCTCAATTTAACTCAAGATTATTTTATGTAAATATGCATTTTCAGTGAATTTTTTGTAATTAATAATCTTTCATATTTCACGAGAAATTTGAATTGACCCAAGACATAACGATATTGGATGATCTTTCCTTCTCTTATCTCTACTAAACAAACAAATTGTACAGTGTGTGTTTTGGAAAAAGGGACTCTAAAATTGAGAAAAATCAAGTAAGAAAATACGTAAGCTGAACTTAATAACACTAAATATTTTTAGGAGTACAACTTATGATTATGATTTCTGGGAATTATAAACTTTCTAGAATGAGTTACAAATTAATCTTGCGGAGTCTCTTTTTAGATAACACAGCCTTTAGACAACATTATAAATATACCCGACTTTTACGATTTCTTAATCAGTGCTTCGACTGCTATCCAAAATGAAGTCTCTCATAATTGCTCTTGCATTTTTCACTGGTAATTAATTAAATACATTTTGCAAACCCATAATTTTAATATTTTGCAGTTTTCAATCTGGCAACATGTCAGTACTCCAACTTTCCAGTGGCTAGCAACAGAGACTCTAGGTATTTACAATATCTGAGAGAACGGAGCCAAATCGAAAGACTTCGCCACGAGTTCGAAACCCTATGCCCTGGAAAGGACGACGAACTTGACGTAAATTCCCCTATTGTTCCTCAAAATAATTTCTAATTAATTTTTTCCAGGACGCACTTTATGAGCTGAAAAAATGCAGCGACCAAATTGACGAAAACACAGAAACGGCCTGTTCGACCATTAAAAACCATTTCTCGCGTTGTTCAAAACCACTCGTCTCGCTTTTGGAATCTTGCGTGCCTGAGGAATCTAAAGGAGTCCCAGAGTTAATTTTCGGATCTGTCCAATCAGCTTTTAAATATTTGTGCAAAACAGACGGCGAGCATATCCTTGGTTTGTATTTTACTAACTAATTGGAGGAGTGTTAATTAAGAGTTTTTAAACAGAATTGGTCAACCGATGCGTCTACAAAACCAATTACCGCACCATGCGATGCGAGCGTAGATTGAGAACTAAATTGCAAGAATATAAGAAGAAGTCGCCGACAAAAGCAGACATCTGCGAATTTGCTCACTCCATGAAGCCTTGTTTTAAGGAGCATTTAGATGACTCGTGTGGAAATGCGATCACAAAGGAGTCTTTCATGGGTATGTTTGACGCTATGGTGGCACCTTGCAGCATAGTCTCCAAGAACCAACTCGATACCAACCACATCAACGAAGTTGAAGTTCTTTAGATAAATAGGTGGTTTATTTTTAAACTTTCTTTTTACTTTAATGTGATGATTTAATAGAAATATTGTAAAAATAAAAATAATACGTTATGTACTATTCATAAATACATTATCTTCGAATTGTAGCTTTGATTCTTGCTAGTCGGAATTAATCAGTGAATAATAAATAATTTATAATGTTCTATTAAGACTTGAATCTTTTTTAAATACAAAAATAGGGACTTCTGTCGTTGCATTGCCTACTAGAAGCTTCTTAATTAAATTAAATTTAATTGGCACTAGGGCTATTGATTATTATTTGCAATCAATCAATTTTAGGTCCATTTTAAGTACTCCTAATAAATAATACTTTTACGTAAAAGTGATTTTTTTATATGAATTATTGACGTTTTGCTATTCAGAAAATTTATTTATTTATCGTTATCTCTCAGTCTTGTGTTTAAGTAAATGTTACTAAGGTCAAATGTAATCAACTTTTCAAAGATTAAAGAGTCAACGGGTAAGACTTTTAAACGTCCTCTTTTAATCAAAAAAGTTGTTGATGTAAATATACAAAGTTTTGATGATAAAACGTACAGCTGATGTAACAAGTTTATGAATACATTCCATAAACGATATATATTTTTTTTAATTAAAAAAAGTCATTTCATAATGAAAAAATGCTTAGCAACATAACTCTTTTGCGTAATTTTAATCAAATATTTTCAAGAAAATGTTAAATTTTAAATATTTTAAAAGACGTAATTTAATGAACTAAAATGTAATGCACAGATATAAAAAAATAGTATATCACTCAGCATCTTTTTCATGTTCATATAGGCCAGTAAAGATATCATTTCGGCCTCTTTACAAAGGTTTCAATTTATTTTTGTGATTTATACAGGCTGCGCCAGAACTCGCGCCCCAGAGAAAAATGTAAGGTAAGATACCAGGAATATGAAATTTTTTTAAAAAAAAATCTATCTATAAAAATTTCGAAGTTATGCACTTTGACACTATTTATTTCTGTTAGAAAAATAATTTTTGATGTTTTTTTGCTGTAAGCTATTAGAAGAGGAAACAAAGAAAGCTGTAGCCTAAGTTGTAATTCTGTTTAATGTTTTTTGTGGCTTTTATTGGCAAAATTTTTGTACCTTTACTAAATAATTATAAAGAAAAACATATACAAGATCATCAGTGTCATTAAATAAACATAAAAAAATGTCAAATGTCAAAAAATTAATGTCAAATTAATACAGATAGAATTTTTTAAATATTTTTTCCATGGTATCTTATCTTACTTGAAATTTTTCTCTGGGGCGCGAGTTCACCCTGTATAGTTTACTATACAGTATAGTTTACTGTATGTTGAGTATGAAACGATGCGATATTGTTAAGCGGAAACAATAAAGTTAACAAGCAAAAGCTAATGTTTGTTTTAAGACTTTGATGCGCGAAAAAAGAAGAAAAGAGTGCTATAAATAATGACTTCTCGCATCGTAAATAACTATTATAAGAAGTAAAATATTTCCGTCATCAACCTCATTACCCATCTGTTTACTTCCCGCTAATTAAAGTTATGTATAAATTAATGTGTTCAAAATATTTATTATTAATTTGTGAGTGACTTCGAAAAATCAGATTGCGACTTACAAAGCTTGTTCTGTAACAGAAATTTGTTTGTATTTTCTATGTCATATACAATGTGAATCTGTTTAATAATAACGTTTGTTTTTCAAATTGAATTTTATCTTGTAACTAATTACTAATTTAATTTCGAAAAAACCTCTATTTGAAACATTTTTTTGCCAACAATGTAGACCTTACAGTTGATAATTTTAAGAAGATATGTTTTCAAATTAAATTTAAATCAAGTGATAACCTTCTTGTAAATAAAGGACTTATCAACTGATAATTATTAGGTCCAATATTATATAAAGCTAAATTAGCTTACTCTCAAAATATTCATTTGTTGTGAAAATGCCAGCCATGAGGAAATTCGTCTTTGTTGCTTTAGCATTGTTTGTAGGTAAGTCATCAATAATTGATTAATTACGGACCATTTTTTAATCCTTTTTACTAGCAATTAATAGTGTCCAATGTGACGACAGCAGTGAGGAAGTCTTGGAACACATCAAGTCAAGACATCTTAAAAAATATTTGCACGGACATCGTGAACACTTGGACGATGGTTTGGAAAAGTTGGAAAAACAATGTCCTGGAGTTTCGGAAAAATTAAAAGTAATACATTATTTCTTATGTAAAAATATTTCTACGATTAAATTTCAGCGGGCTATTGCAGAATTTTCCGAATGTGATGATAAAGTCGATGACTCTTTGACGATGTGTGAAGCCATTCATGCTTACACCATCAACTGCACCGCCCCTTTGCTCAAAGTAGTCAACGACTGCTTGCCCGAAAATGCCAAAGGTTTGCCCAATTTAGGTGTGAAAAGTCTTGTTTCAGTCGCTGAGCATTTGTGCAAACAAAGCGGAGAATCGATTTTTGGTAAGTTGAAAACTTTTAGAGAGTAGAAAGCGAAACCATGAATTTTTACAGAATTGGCCAACCCATGCTTGTGGGAAGATTTGGAGACATCCAATGCTGAAATGGACGCTTGTGAGGACAAAGTCAAAGCTCTCGGGCAAAAATACAAAGAGCATATTCCAACACAAAGTGAGCTTTGTAGGTACGTATTGGGAAAATTTGTTTTGAATTTGTTGTAATTGATGATTTGCAGTTCTGTCACCGATTTAAGGACTTGTATCCAGAAACGTGCCACACTTTCTTGCAAAAACCAGAAGACGAGGAATTCTATTCTTGGAGTTTTCGACGCTATTGTTGCTCCTTGCTCTCATCTTAATTCTGTTTAAAACCAGGAAATAATAGATATTGTGTAAATAAATGTGTTTGTATTTGATTTTTGTACTTTAATGACCTAATTACTAGTTTTTAAAACTAGTACTCAAAACAATATTACAAATTAAATTCTAAATAATTTTTAATAAAATACAATATACATTATGTTCCCAGATTGAGTTTACAAGAGGAACAAAAAATAATTTTGATTTCACGCTAAAACTGCAAAGGAAAATTTACCTGAAACGAACAAGTCTGTAGCTAAAACTTCAATTTTCTAACTCAGTGCAAAGAAAAGTTCGATTTTTTATTGATTTTGGAATATGGAGATTACTATCTGAGTTACTGCACTTATCAAAAAACCTAGGAGTTAAAATATCTAAATATAAATTTTATATATTTTTCTGAAGCTTCAAAGTCATATTTCTCAATAATTTGCTTATGTGGCTTATCACGTTTTTACAATAAGCCCCTCAATTTTAATAAATGGCAACTCAAAGAAACAGCTTTAAGATAAAAAACCAAGTCATTTTTAACAAGGACTGTCATTATTCAATTAATAAATAAGACTAAAATCAAAAGAAAAATAAACTTTTCTTTTACTGAATCAGAATAATGAAGTTTTAATTACAGATTTGCTCGTTTCACATGAAGCAAAAAATGTTTTTCCTTTGCAGTTTTGGCGTAAAATCAAAGATATTTTTTTTCCTCTTATTAACTCAATCAGGGGATTAATTTTAAATATTTAATTACAAACTGATAATAAACTATCAAAATGAAAATAAATAAAAACATCCTGAGTGACAACAGAAATGCTATATTTTCGTATAGATAATTTATCATATTTGAATAATTATGCCATACTACCGTTAGATAAAAATGAATAACAAATAATAATAAATAACAAAAATAATAAATAGTGACACTGTTTTTGGCAACATTTAAGACAATACTTTTGCCATGAATATCGTTTTTAATTTTAACTGTCATATAATAATAAATTCAATGTAAAAAGTACCCAATCAAAAGAAAAAATGGTATAAAATCTCTCATTGTTGATACTCGTGCATTTGTAATACCAACTTTAACAATTAATAAAAAAAAGTACTGGCTAAAAAACAATTTTATTTAATTAGACGTCATTTTTAGATCATAATCTTTAGTTAAAAAAAATACCATGGTGGGTTCCTATTAAAAAAAAAAAATTTTCCAGAACTCGAAAACTAAAAGAAATTTCGAAAAATGCTATTCTTGATAAATGGTCACATTTTAATTGTACTTTACGCTAGCTACACTAATAATTTGTGTTTAGTTTACGAAAAAAACGTTTGGTTCCATACTTTTTATTCACCTGGTATGTAGGTACCATTTTGAATTGGTACAATTAGTTAAATAAAATATCTGTTTGTAATTGTAAAAAAAATAATGTATTTTCAAAAATAGGATTCCTAATATGTAGACAAGTTGTGGTATATTGATTTTGTTTATTTTTTTTTATTTTTACTATCAGAGCATTGGCGAATGTAGAATTTTTTTGTTCATTTTGAGTGTATTATGAAGTAAATTTATTAAATAAGAAAAATCAATACTTATTATTTATATTTTTTCTTTAGTATAAAATGATTTTTATCCGTAATCGTCACAAAAACCTTTTTACTTTTACTATGATACCGTGCGATCAAAAAAAATTAGAGTAGACGGCGATTAAATTCTACAGTTGGCAACACATTAGCTAGGAATCTGGGCTGAAAAATTTCCACACAAACTGAAAGTGAAAATGACCATTCATCGTTTTCGTCTTGTACAGCATTTTTGTATTAACTTGCACAATAAAAATTTTCTGCTCTAAAGTGAACATTATGTCACTCAAAATGAATAAAACGCAAACTTGTTAAAGTTTCCGCTGACATTTGATGTCAAAAATCAGGATTGCCAACTGAAGGAATTTAATCACCGTCTACTCTAATTTATTTATTTTTTTGATGGCACGGTATTTATCTACCAATGCTTTAACAGTTTCTGAAGAGGTATCTTGTATGTACATACAAAGCGGCGAATTTTGTGTAAAAAATCGCTTGTTTTGTCGTTGCCAAATTATACCTAGCTGCTTTTGCGTGGTTTCTAGTTCCTAAATACACAATAAGTACACAGTGATTATAAATGATTTTCATCAAGCCAGCTGTGAATTTTCCATGTAAAATAAAAAATGCCGCTTTATGAAAATAGGGGTACCTACTTGTTTTAACTCAAAAATAAAAAATCCACGTCCACTTCGAAAATAGATTTCAATTATAAACTTGTTTTCTTCCAAAGTATACATTATTATCAATTATTATTGGAAATTAGTTGAAACAATAAAAGTTTAATGAACAAAAATTTATTATTAATTAATAAGTGACACTAATGTCAGAACTAGAGCTTTCAAAAAATTAGAGCGGCACAAATAAATTTACATACAAAAAAATTCCAAAGCTGGCTAGATGAAAATCATTTATAACCACTCTGTATAAGTAATTAACAAGAGCTCCCAGTATCCTTACCTGTAAAACTTTGACCCAGACTGGAGTATAATATTAATATTTATCTTAAGTTATCTACTAATGACCCAAAATGTATGTGTGTACACTCACTTTTATATGGATTGCACCACTCAGAAGGATATTGGAAAATGACCTTTTGTTATTAACTGCAAAACAATGGAGATTTGAAGAAAACAAAAAAAACTAGCTGCTTCCGAAGAAAAAGTAAGAATAAGTGACATTACCACGCTTAACAATACAAGCATTTTTTTCTAGATAGTGTTCCTTTTATGACGTTGATGTTTTACTAAGGTACCTATTTCATACTTTGTAACTTCTTATTGTTGATGTCCAAACTTGTTAACTGTTATTAGGAGCTTTGGTCAAATGCTGTAAATGTTGAATTAACATTTCACATGATTGTAATTGCCAATAAATTTGGTCGACTACATGCAACAGTGCGTTTTTCTCAAAAGACAAAAAGCATGGAAAGTAAAAAAAACGGGTCAATTTTATATTTACATGGAATTTTTACAATTCACTCTTTCATCAAAGCGCTAGCGAGTTCAACAAATTTCCGGTATTGTAGCTTTTTTCTGCGTGGTGCGTTTAATATGAAAGTCGATGTATACAGGTGTTTCAGAACTCGCGCCTCAGAGAAAAATGCGATGTAAGATAAGACACCAAAACATGAAAAAATGTTTAAAAAATTCTAACTGTCAAAAAATTTAATTTTTTAGTTTTACTGATCTTGTATATGTTTTTTTTATAATTATTTCGTAAAGGTACCAAAATTTTGCCAATTAAAGCTACAAATAACATTAAACAGAGTTACAATTTAAGATACAGCTCCCTTGTTTCCTCCTCTAATAGCCAGTAGCAAAAAAACTTGGAAAATTATTTTTCCAACAGAAATAAATAGAGTGCAAACTTTAAACCCTCATAACTTCGAAATTTTTATAGATAATTTTTTTTTAACATTTTTTCCATGTTTCTGGTATCTTACCTTATATGGCATTTTTCTGGCGCACTCTGTATTTGTTTTATTCAAGAAATTTACATCACTACGTAGTAATTAGTAATTTAGGCTTATTTGAGTTTAATTTGTTTTTGATAGCTGATCATTTTGTAGTGTTTAGAACTGATAAATAACTAATTCTTTTCAATGGGTATAAAAGCAAGAAAACCGAATTTTTCAGTCTATAAATTTTTGAAAAAAAAAACCGACATGGCCAGACTGCTAGTATTAAATTTTATTTTATTTTTTGGTGAGTTAAATTCCAATTTAGTTGCTTGTAACTGTTTTTCAATTGCAGTCTTCCATTTTACACATGGCGGAACTAATAAACGTTTGATCCAATTAGGAAAAAGATTTTCAAAACAAATACATGTAGAAGACAGTGATAAAGAAGAAACCGATGAATTATGTCCCAATTTTGATAAAAATTTTGATGTATATTATTGGTACAACTTTAAAATGATAAAAACTTAAGTATGTATTGTTTTCAGAACGCCTGGATTTTGGCAGAAGAATGTATCAAAAATATCGATAACAATTTAACCATGTGTGAACAAGTAAAGAAATATACACCGAATTGTACACAACCTCTTGTTGAGGCCATCCAAGAATGTATACCTGTTTTACCCGGTTTAGCAGTAAAAAGTTTTATGTCGGTAGTGGACCATTTTTGTAAAGAAACCGGAGAAAACCTCCTTGGTAAAATTACATTGCTTTAATTTTATTATTATACAAATGTTTATAGAGCTGTCGAATCCATGTTTCTGGAAAACATTTCTGGAAGATGACGAAAAACTTAAAAAATGTGAAAGGACAATCTATAATGAATTGGAAAATATAATTGAAGATTCACCCTCCCAAAGTCAATTGTGCAGGTTAGTATCTACAAACAAAGTAAATTAACTTCTAAACTGGTACTTCAAAACTTTCCTTTTTTGATTCATATTTTTCTAGTGTTCTAACGAATTCCCAAAGCTGCTTGCACGAAATAACCGATTCTTGCAAAAGTGTAAAAACAAGAAACGCATTTATGGGTTTGTATGAAGCCTTTATGGCCCCTTGTAGCAATGTGTAAATTGTAATTCAATTTAATTTTTTTTTGTATTTAAAACAGAAAAAATAAACTCTTTTTTTAGTGGATTCTTGTTTTTTATATACCTGGGAACCATTTTTCTCCACTTGTCCCCATGATAAAATGACCAAAATGTCAAAAGTGACAGCAAACCTAACCTCACATTTACGTACAAACTATGTTTATTTCTATTAAAAAGTAATAAATTACGTGACTTTGATGTATTAAATTGGATTTGTGGCAACATTTAATCATGTTTGACAAATCTGAGATGGACCAAGTGATTTTAGCGACCGGGGGCTACGACCACACCATCAAATTGTGGCACACTCATTCCGGTATTTGTTATAGAACAATGCAGCATGCCGAATCTGTAAGAAAACTAACCCAAACCTTCCCCAGAAATAACAAACCACTTTCAGCAAGTCAACGCTTTAGAAATAACTCCCGATAAACAACTCCTAGCAGCAGCGAGTTACCAACACATTTACATGTACGACTTAAACTCAAACAATTCGAACCCCATTGTTAATTACGACGGAATAACTAAAAATGTGACTGATGTAGGGTTCGAAGTGGACGGTAGGTGGATGTATTCAGGGGGCGAGGACTGCAGAGTGCGTCTGTGGGACTTGAAATCAAAAGGTACTCAATGTCCAAAAATTTTCGAAGTCCAAGCTCCTGTGACCTGCGTTTGCCTTCACCCAAACCAAGTCGAGTTGTTCGTGGGCGACCAAAGCGGGATTATATACAGGTGGGATCTAAAAACCGACCACAATGAACAACTAGTAAGATCCCTTAATCAATTTAAAACACTTAGTTTTTCGATTAATTCAGATTCCTGAAAGCGACGCTATGATTTTGGACATTGCGATTGACTCTCTGGGGACCCACATGGCGGCTGTGAACAACAAAGGCCGCTGTTACATCTGGAGCCTCAAATCGGGGCAAATCGACGAACCCACCAAAATGAACCCAAAACATAAGTTTGACGCCCATAAAAGACACGCATTGAAGTGCGTATTTAGCCCAGATTCTAGATATTTAGTGACCACATCAGCGGACCAAACCGCAAAAATTTGGGATACGACTGATTTTTCCATAAGACAGGAATTGAAACAAGAAAATCAGAGATGGGTGTGGGACGCTGCCTTTAGTTCTGACTCACAATACGTTTTTACAGGTGTGTTAAGTGATAATGAGACAAAAGATGATTAATTGTTTCAGCTTCCTCTGATTGTACGGCAAAAATATGGAATATTGAGACGGGTAAGATGGAGAAAGAGTACACAGGGCATCAGAAAGCGGTCACAGCATTAGCATTTAGGGATTGTGCAGTCTGATTTTTTTTTAATTTTGTTACTAAGTTGTTACGAAAATAACGACAAAAATTGGTTTTTATGATATATTTAAATTATTTGAGAAAAATAATACCTGTAGATATCTTCAGTCTCTAATTAAGTAAAACTGACTAATTCAAGCCGCTGAAAATAAATGTCTTTTGTTGACCCATCGCGAATGGAATATGTCATGCAATGTGTAATACTGGCCATAAGAAGTGCAACAGATCAACGTAAGTACCAAAATTAAAGTGCCCACATTTAAGCTAAAATGGCACTAACCCTTTTGTATTAAATTGACTTAAGCACGATTTTAATTACACTAAAATTAAAAATAGTTTACATTTAGACCATTGGAAGAGTTTCAACTTCGCCGATTTCAGTACAAGTCTCTTCATCCATTACAAAACTTACAAAAAACTTGAGGAAAACTTGTACATCATCAGGATTTGCGATCAACATAATTTGGGTTATAGCTGAAGGGGGGAGGAACGGGTTGTGAGCAGGGAGAGTGGTGGCGGAGGGGGGTTGAAGTTTGACTTTACAGCCCTGTAAATTGTCAGTCAGTAAATAAAGTTATTTTTTGTTAGTATCACCTTAGGTACAACAGCCTGGAATAAGTAATTAGTCAAAGGCATATCATTTTTGTTGATTGTGGTCACAACAAAAACATGCACGTCGTCTCGAGGCTTGTCTTTCACAAAGTGGAGAGTTATTGTGATTCCGTTTCTCTCGTTCAAGATTGTGAGGGGTGGGACTGGGCTTGGTTTGATATCTTCCAGTTTGATAAAAATGTCATTTAACTTAATTTCATGATTTTTTGGTGTTTCAGTTATGCTGGGTTTTCTTTGGGTGGTAGTTTCATCAGCTTCCAGCATTTTCTCATCAGCAATGTCAACCAAACAATCATCTATTGAATTTTCCATTATGTTTGTCTTTGGTTCTTCCTTTGGTTTACTTATTAAATAACTCAGATCTAAATTTAGAGAATCACTAATTGTTTCATTTTTTCCGTTGCTTTGGGATGGTTTCGTTTCAGATAATTTCGTAAGGCGATTCATTGGAATTTTTTCTTGTTTACTAAAACGAATTAATGACTACAAAAATTAACAAACCGGATTTATACTTATTAAAACTGCCTTGTCTGTTAGATGGGAGATTTTCTTTAATTAAATGTTCACTCAAAATATCCAACTCTTCTAAGGCTTTAAATTTATTCACCTCTTTCCCATTTTCGCTTTTATCTAAAATTATTAAAGTAGCAAGATTAGATTTAATTTGATTGAAAACTGACCACAAGTTAATACTGAAACTGGTTGCAAAATATCAGCAGAATCTGGAATGTTAGAAGCGTTAAAAATATCACATAAAACATCAATTTCTTTGGGTTCAGTGTTTTGACACTGTGCTTCATCAGAGCCTTCAAAATCAAGCAAGGCGTTACTTCCACCATCACGAACACTATTCCCCTGAACAATAATCTTGTTATATTTACTAAAAACATGACTCAATTCATCACTTGCTTGCAAAACATCACCTATAATATAAAATTTGCTGTTTAATTTAAATTATTTGTAATGTGTTACTGACCCAAAATTTCTTCATTCTGTTGAGTCTCTGCAGTTAATTTCATTAAATTTTGTCTTAGACGCTCACAACTTTGATGAAGCTCTTTGATTAGATCTAATTCATCAGCAGAAGAAATGCCTGGTTTGTAAGAATCAAGCATTTCGTTTAGTAATCTCACATTATTTTGTACTGATTCAAGTTCAGAAACGCGACGGCTCTTTAATTCCGCTCTTTTATCGTCCTAGAGTCACAATTTTGTAAAATTTGAAGCCCAAAAGTAACTTTTTACCTCTTTGACCATACTCTTAATCAGCCAATTGGCGGCTTGAATATCCTCAGGGTCTTTGCTTTGCAACAATTTTTGCAAAATTTTTGACTTCTCTTCATCGTGGAATACAGAATTTGTGACTTTTTTCCTTGGAATGTTGACATTTTGTACTATATTTGGGTTCGGAATTTCCTTGATAACGCCCTGCTTTCTCAGCATATCATATGCTTCCTTTATTTTGGTTTCTTTGGGATAATCCAGGGTCCAAATGTACATCAACTGTAAAACTTTTTGCTTCACAAGAAGCGGAGTTTGTGACCCTAAATATTTAGGTGAAACTAGCTTAATCATCTCGTTTAAAAACCGGAATTTGCCAACTTCTGACTGAAAAGCTGTTCCACATTTGCTCATACACGTATCTAAGATATTAAGCGTTTGAAGCAGCTCTTTCTCGTTACCCGATGGAAGCCTGTTTGCGATCACTTTAACCCCAATGTGCGCCCCATCTTTTTCTTTATTTACAAGAGCACAGAAGGCCTCAACGGCGGCGGTATCAATGTTTTGGTTTTGAGAGTTTGTGGCTTTTACTAAAATTACACGAAACTCAAGAGTATTTTTTTTAATAAGACAGTAAAAAGCTTACAAAGCAAGGCTTCGAGACTAGTTTGAGTCACCAAATCCATTTTAATGGCTTTTTTAAATTGTTTTAATCATTTTAATTTATTTTCATGTCACTTAAATGTCAAACTGCTGTCACGGAAAATTCCCTAGTTTTTTGGTAACTTACGAGACAGAGTTGGCAAAACTGAGTAAAATTTTTAAAAACGCGGTATCTTGCCTTAACTTGCTAGAATTCCCCTTATGAAAATGAGTTATAATAGATTAGATAAAACTAAAACATAACCAAAAATAAATAATCTGTTGATCTTTGTGACTGTATTAGTAATTGAATAAGTGTTGCGATATAAGCATTTTAGGTATGTAGAAAAATAATTTAATTTTTCTTAACTAACACAGACATTTTAAGTAACAATGGCAAACTACAAAATTCTTTCTGAAGAAGCTTTAGAACAATTAGTTTGTTCCAATTGCAACAAATACTTATCATTTGGGAGTCCAAAAATTGGAAGCAATAAAATCATCTGTCAACGTTGTGACCAAAAAGAGTGCATTTTACCGTTTTTTAACAACGATATATTCACGTATTTATTTCCGTGTATTAATCGTTTTGACAACTGTAACGAATTAATTTGTTACACACAAGTTGAAGAACATGAAAAAAGGTGTAAAATTGTTGGTAACCATCGATGCAGCGAGTGTAATTACACGGGAAATGGTTGTCAATTATATCACCATTTCCTAAAAAAACATCCCAACAACTTTTTAAAATATCCCGAATTTAGAATCGATGTAACCGAAAAGAAAAATTGGAATTATTTATATCGGATTGGGAACCACTTCTTTTTGATTAGATACCAATTTATGGCACCTGATAATGCTCTGAAATTGTTCGTAAAATGCATAGGACGAAACGAAGAAACAACCAAATTTCAAATTATTTTAACATCATTGGTCCGAGATAAGGAATATTTTCAATCTAGTGAGAAAAATTATCTTGAAGAAAAAATCGATATTTTGAAACATTTAGAAGAAAACACAGAGAATTTGGTGACGTGCCAATTGAAAGTGAAAGTGGGTGGAGATCTATTTACGTAAAATACTAACAACAATAATAACATCAACAGAAACCAAAACACTGAAAGTCAAAATGAAGAAATAGTGAAAGCTCTCAAACAAAACCTCTTCCCCAAATTGCGATGCTTCTGTGGCAGTTTCGTGCTCCCCCCAATTAAGAAATGTCCTGCCAACCACGTGCAATGCGAGATTTGCACCAACTCATACTGTCCCATTTGCGACGACGTTGTGAATTGGTCGCGAGCTCCCGATTTGGAGGCCTTCCATAATATTATCCCTCTCCCCTGTCGCTGGCAGTGCGGAATGCTACTACTCCATTCGGAATTGCGTTCACACGAAAAAACTTGTGAGAAAAGACGTTATAAGTGTATAGAAAAGTGGTGTTCATGGAGTGGAAGTTTACAGGATCTTATGAGCCATTGGCACAGTTCTGAACCTGTATATGACAGTGTTCACCAAGTGTATGGCTTCAGTGAAGGCCTCGTTGAATTTTATTTACTATACAACAATGAACTGTTTTATTTAAGAATGGAACCGTTGAAGAGTTCAGGTCGAAATTTTCATGTGAGAAAAGTTTCAAATGTGGATTCGAGAAATGAAGTTTACTCGGCAAGGGTAGTGCTGAGGCATAGCTGCGATGGGATGACAAAAGAGAAAAAGGCGACACTTAAATTTGGAGGAATTACTTTGTTGAAAAGAAATTATTTTAAATATTTTGGGGAGTGCAAAAATTATAAAATTATTTTTAACCTGAAACTTGCGTCGTAGGGGATTTGCCTGATTTTGTCAGTATAACCGCTTATCATTTTTTAACAATAATTAGATAAAAATTGGGGGATAATAAAAAATAAATTGAGTTTGATTAATTTTATTTTGTTACCAATGCACAAGTATCACAATCGGAGGTTGTAACACGCGTTTTTATACAATTTTTTCTACTGAGCACTTTTTAAATTAAATTTATTATTAAATTTGCCAGTTAAAATTTTTCACAGTTGACGTATGTGGTTTTCAAATTGCTCAAAAATAGCTTAAATTGCATTAATTTAATACGTTGAAATGCAACAATTTCTTCTTACTTATAAACGACAGTCTATGGCCGGTGATGGCCAAAGTATTGCATAAAATGTCGTCAAAAAACAGTGTTACAAAGTTCTTATTGTGACACCGAAATAGAAAAAATATTTCTTCGTCTTTTTTAGGTAAAAAACAACAGTACACAAAGTACAGCTGGGAAATAAAATTTTTCCAAATGTAAATTCAGTCCTAGTTGTCAATTGTCAACTTGACAATACAATAAAAAATATTTTATCAATGGAATTAAATTTGTACTATAATGCCGCTTAAGTGAAGTAGAGAAAGCCAGAAAGAAAATGGTAGGAAAATTATGAATTTAGAGTGCCACCAAAATATTTTTACCTATCTTTAATAAAACACGTTCACACCATGGAAAAATTGAAAAAAAAAACTCGAAATTTTATTGACATTTCCCGTTTTATTTAATGTAGGTAGCTGTAAATGAATTTAACACATTTTTTTCTATAATAAATTATTAAATTAGTGACCCAGAATTAAAATCGTACCTTTTATCTCTTTTTTTCTAAAATTTGAAGCATTTTTTCATTCCAATTACAATAATATATTAATGTGCATCGAAGTAGTCGTTGAAAGGGATCATCTTAAGGTGGCAACCATGCGAAAATTTAAACAATCCTAAACTCAATCTTCCCTAAAAATTATTTTTTCAAATAAATGTGTACCCCATGTAACAAAAAATAATTAAATTAACAACGTAATTAACATAGGATAGCAAACATAAAGATTTTTGACATTATTGATGTGATTAAATTTGTTCTAAATGACATTAATGACAAGTCTAAAGCGGCCTTTATTAAAGATTCATTTAGACTTCTACAACCTACTTGATGCACATTAATATGAAAAAGAGTATATGTACTTAAAATGGGTTTTCCACTTATTTACTTACAACAGAATTATTATCGTTTACCTAAAAATAAGTAAAATTATTTTTAGAAGAGGGTTGGGGTTTCCAGAATTATTTTTGCTAAAACATTAAGCTTTACTTACATTTTTTATTTTTTCATCTTTAAAAGCTATCAGTACCTGCCTATCATTGAAAAATATGTGTCAAAATATAAAAAATAATTGCATTTTAAGTGCTTGCAATTATTAATATAAGGTATTCGGAACGCTAATGGTTGTCATACATTTTAACTTTGACGTGAATAAATGTATTTTACTTTAAAAACGAAATGAAAGTTTTATTGCTACTGAAAATGCAGTTTTTATCGACTTAAATAATTACGAGCAACAGATGTCATTGGCATATAATTACCTTTAAACTTGGACTTATTTGTTAGTTGTTTTTGAATTTATTAAAACCTTTACCTAATAGTGAGAATAGTCATGTGGAGCAAAACTATTCTTCTAACATTATTATTGTATGTTGTTGCAGTTTATAGTAGTAGTAGTAGTTAATGAGAGGTTTGTTTACTTGATGATCAAATATTTAAATAACTTTTTTAGATAGTACCAGTACTAATGCGAATAGAAATACGACTGTTGTGAATATAAACAGAAGTATATGTGCTCAGAACGAAACTAGAGCATTTCTTCTTAGTTGTGAATCTAGTTGTAGAAATTTGAGACAAAATTGTCGTCTATCGTCTCGATGTGTTTGTAAAAATGGATTTTTCAGAGATATTAAAACTCAAGTTTGTGTGATTGAACAAAATTGTTCCAATTATTTCTATTTACGTATATGGGCAATGAGTTAGTTAATTATTATTTTATAAATCTTTTACTAATTTTTAAATTTTTATAGTAAACAGGATATTGAGGATAATATTGAGCTTGATCAGGCCTTTCGTACCAACGTAATTAAAAATAAGGACTAAATTAAATTTTTTATTATGAAATTTATTTCAGGACTGTGGTAGATGCTGTTGGTCTACTTTTGACTGCAAATAGGGTACGCCAACTTATTCTTCCTTTATAAACTAAATAAATTTAATCAAAATAAATCAAGTATAAAAAATTCGTTTTGGACTCTTGAAGTTTCCAAAGTCGGAAATACGTTATAGATTACTTTACGGTCGATAAAAATATATTTCTCATAATATTTATTACTTCCCACAGAAAAAAATATGAGGCGAGTTTAATTGAATTTAGTGAAACTCAAATTTTTAAATGGGTGGATTTTGGAATAAAAGCTTTAACATGGATATTTTTTATTAAATTTTTACATGAATATACAGTATTGTTAATTATATTTTAGTACATTTAATAAATAGAAGAATAAAGTAACAAATTGTATTGGCGTTTTTATCATTCTTAGGGCTCTAAAGTATGATAATAACGGTCCAATAGTCTGCATTCGTTTTTATATAATTAATTAGGAAACAATATCACATTAGACATATACACTATTAAGGGAAGCACTTCTTGAATTTTTTAACGAATTTAGAATGAATCGAAGAAGGGAAACCATAAATATACTTATTGTAGAACTATGGCAGACCATAATTTACTACGAAGAGTAATTAAATGTTAAATGTAAAAAATAGAAAAAATAAGTAGATTATGGCCTGATGTTTTCCCTGGTTGATTGTACATCACATTTTTCTAGTTACGACCTAATAACATCACAAATAAAATTTTCAGTGTATAACTTTATTGCATTTACAGTGTTTTATCATCTAGTAGGACCTAATTATATTTAGGAATAAGTAAGCTATTTACATAGTTTTTGACTTAGTCTTTCATTTGATAAAAATATTGGTCTCGAGGTAAAAAAGGGCGAAAATAAACAATTCAGTCATAAGTTGTGCTTTTGACAAAGCTCATAATCCGTATACCCGTTTTGGATTAAATCGGTGTCATCTCAAGTACGACTCTTCTTCCAAGGCTGTGTTCATGTTCACTACTGCTACTCTCACAGTCGATCGGAGACACAGAACTCCGTGATCGTTTCTCGTCGGATCAGTCACACTTAAAAGTCACATTTCTTGGACCTGAAGCGACCGCAGTTGCGGCAACACTAGCAGCCAGTCTTGCAGCTATAGGGTGTTCCGTATCCGAAGGGAAACGACCACTTTGCCGCCATCATTGAAAATGTCTGATCCCAAAATGTTTGTTCCTTCTGGCGTAATTCCTCCCACACAGAATTTTCTTAAACGCGTGCCGAAACTCGGGACTGAAAATCGTATAAATGATAGGATTTAACGTCGAGTTGAAATAACCCAACCAGAGGAATATCGAGATCACGTATTTTTCAAACAAGTTCGCGTTGATTGGAAGCAGCACCGCCATTATAAAAAATGGCAGCCAACACAGCACGAAAGCACCAGTAATAATAGCGAGAGTCTTAGCGGCTTTTCTTTCGCGTTTGGAGTCAGCACTATCGCGTGATTTCTTCTTGATGGGATAATGTTGGGGCTGGTAGCTCATACTGCAGTCGGTGGTGGTGGGCATGTCGGGCTCAAGGCCGTTGGCAAAGGAGGTCTTTTCGGGGCTGGAGTTGGAGGAGACGGTGGTGAAAGCCGTTGTTGTCTCGGAGATGGTGGGTAAGGGGCGGCCGATGATGGTGACTACGGCGGCGGCGATGCCTCCAGTGCCGCTGGCGGCGGCCAAGCCTCCGGCAATGCCCCCGGCGGCAGGGTTCTGGGAAGAGGTGTTGGCGCCGCTGCCGATGACTTGGCGTCTGCGGATGCGTTTCCGGGCGGTTTGGAAGATGCGCCAGTAGAGGATGAGGATGACGAGGAGTGGAAGGTAGAAGGAGGAAGCCGTGGCGAAAATCTGGTAGTAGAGGTCCTGGCTGATGAGGCATTCTTTGTCGCGGATTCGGTCATCCCATTTGGGGTCTTTCCAGCCCAGAAGGGGGGCGATGCACACTAGAAACGAGACGAACCAAATTATGAAGATCATCATGCCGATTCGCTTCGATGTGCGCTGATGGATGTAATCTATGTTGGTTACGGCCCAATATCTAGAAATTACAACGAATGTTAAGAGGAATTGGAATTTTATAGAGGCATGAAGTCGGAGCATTGGAAATAGGGATTATTCCTGATGGACGCGATATTACGCCGCTTGCACACATTTTACATATTTTTAAATGGGTTGTAAAATTGTATTTTCTGATGGAGAATTTAAAGAAGTGCTTTTCACATCTTTAATCGTGTTGAGAAAATGTAATTACTTTGAACACAATGAAGCTCACATTTATTGTACAGAAAAAAGAGTTATTAATGAAAGTAATAGTACATAGTGGTTATAAATGATTTTCATCTAGCCAGCTTTGGAATTTTTTTTATTTGTGCCGCTCTACTTTTTTGAAAGCTCTAGTTCTGTCATTAGTGTCACTTATTAATTAATAATAAATGGTTGTTTGTTTGAGTTAAAATAAGTAGGTACCCCTATTTTCGTAAAGCGGCATTTTTATTTTACATGGAAAGTTCACAGCTGGCTAGATGAAAATCATTTATAACCACTCTGTATATTATGTAACTAGTGCTATAAAGGCCACTTTAGGTATAAGTTTTATTAGGTACGAGCATGGGCGCCCGCAGAAATTATGGCCACGGGGGGCAAAAAAAAAGAGTCGAAATTAATAATAACAGTTTCATTTGTCTATTTTCATATCACTCAGTTCGTGATAAAAATGTAAATATTAATTTCTTATTTCGTTCATGAAAATTTAAGTTGGGACATGTTTGTAAAGAATCAAAAAAAGCTTTTTTTTATATCAAATATAGCAACCACTATTGTCCCAGGGGGGGCAACGGCCCCCACTGCCCCCCCCCCCCTGTGGGCGCCCATGGGCACGAGCGAAGCGAATGTCTAGAGAAGTGTTACATACTGTACTTTTTCTACGACCACCACAAAAAATGTACTTAAATTAAAAATTAAATTAGATGACAGAAAGCTAACTTCAGCCCGAGACTAATACAACAGTTGCTATTAGCAACGTAACTAATACGTATACGAAGTGACATGACATTGTCATGAGTTAAGAATACAGAAATTTTTAAACTTAATTATTTATATATAATTAATTTTTGTATTTATGGGTTTAGAGCTAATACCTTTTTCTTGCAACTATATCGTTTTATTCAGTAAGGCGTTACAAGAATTAAGGAGACATTATCTCAATGTCGACAGTTAGTGTTTTGAGAAAAATTGCATTGAATCTTTGATTGTTAATAAAAAATTAAGGAATTGTTTAATATTAATGAAAATTGCTGAAAGTCTAAGTTTTGGTAATAATAATGTTTATTCAAAGAAAATTTTTCTCATTGTTTTTGTATTTTGGGCCCTACATAAGCCATCGAAACTCAAAACCAATTTTTATGAGTTACTATAGCTTTCGTTGGGAGAGTCGATGTGACTTTTTTTTTAAGTATTTAAACATTGATTTATCGCGAAAACATTTTTTTGTTCTTAATCCCCTTTTCTTCTAGGCCCACGCTATTTAACAAGTGATAAATTTAACGTATGTAAAAGTAATAGTTCTTATATTGAAAAACAACGGGTGTTTACCTAAATTTGGCATCATAGTCATATGAGTGTGTTGTGAACGCACTACAGTTTTTAATACGCCCGGCAAGGTGTCAAATGTCAAATTAATAAACTTTCAATACGATGCGATGGTTCGTTCACAATCGAACTTTCATAGAAAACATTGACGCCAAATTAAAAAAAAAACATCCATTATAATTTCTAAAAAAATCTAGGTATTTATAAAAATTTCGAAGTTAAGGGAGTTTAAATTTTGCACTTTAACTCTATTTATTTCTGTTGAAAAAATAATTTTCTAAGATTTTTTGCTACAGGTTATTAGAAGAGGAAACAAGGAAGCTGTTTCCTAGATTGTAACTTTTTTTGTGTTATTTATGGCTTTTGTTGTCAAAATTTTTGTACCTTTACTAAATAATTATAAAAAAGAATATATACAAGATCATCAGTATGATTAAATAGACATAAAAAATGTCAAATGTTAAAAAATAAATGTCAAAATTTTTTGACAGATAGAATTTTTTAAACATTCTTTTAGTAGGGGGACTACCCAATTACTCCTCTTCAAGGAGGTGCGCGATTTTCTGGACATTCTGTATACGTATATATGCCCTAGATTTAATTACGTCACATAAAATGAATTATTCCAATTGAATTTTACAAATTACTAGACCCATTTTAGAGACATTTTTTGACAAAATATTAATTAATTTTTTATTAAAGTTTATCTCGTTTTAATTATTGCCAAAATATGTATAACTTGGCGACATTAAATAAGGTGTGCTGAAATTTCAGTTGCGGCTAGGTATTTAGTAAAAGTCTGTTTGCATGTGTAACACGAAGAGACCGGTTCAAATGGCGTTTTACACTTGAATGCTTTATGCAAATACACAGAGAAAAACTCATTCGAGCGGTAACTTCGTCTATTGATTGTGATACAAATCCATATTTATGCTGATCCTGGCATTAGTACATTCCCTATTCCTGTATACAAACACAACATAAGACGTTTTTTAGACAGTCGGCCTTATTTAAAACACAAACTACATTTTCCCCTCTCTTTATATCATTTTACATTTAAATTATAAATTGTTCATTCCAACTCTGATGAGAACTGTCATTTTATTAGTACGGAATTATGTCTACTTGTATGTTGCCATTTCAACAGGGAAATGTGTATTACCTCATTCTTGATTATTAACGTCTGTAGAAACATGGTAGGCTAATATTGAAGGAATATTTAATGAGGTAATAAATTTGTTATGTTTGAAATATGAGGAAAATAAAACATTTATTGCACTTTGTTATTTAAACGTGAAAAGTTGTAACTGCGAGTTTTTAGTTGGATTATAGTATCGCTTACTCGAACAATAGAGAAGTGTTTAATGAAATTTACGGTAACAGCAAATGCAATTTTCAAACTATTAATGAATTTGATATTACTAATTGTAGGTACCTAGCTATAAAAGTTTCGCTTATTTTTATAACTATTAAGACAACTAAAGTTTTATAAACAGTTTAAAAATCGAGGTCGTAGTTTAATAGGGTGAGATTTTTAAACTATAAAACTCGTGTTGTCTTCAAGATTTTTTGCAACACTAATATTGAATCAGAAATTTTACTAAATTCAGAAATTATTATAAAGAAGTATGTCAAAATAATGTCAAAATTGACAAAAAAATATGCATCAGCGTATTTTATAGACTTACTAGCTTCCACCTATGACTTCGTCCACGTAGATTTTCGATACAAATTTTTGTTGTTTCTCAAAGAAGAAATGTGAAGTTAGTCTGTTTATCTATTTTTTTCTTGATTTATCAACTCAAAACAACGCGAGAGAAGATAGCCGATGTTTAAAAGAATGACAAAAGTACAACGCTTGTAGTACAAAAGTACAAACGCTTACACCCCAGTTCACCTGGTCGAATTTTCAAAAAGTGTCTTTTTAGTTCATTTCTACATCCTCAAAAATCAAAATTCTAAAAGTAATATTTATATTTTCGTTTAAATGTTTGCACCCCTATTTCATCCCGTTATAGGTTGGTTTTTGTTGAGTGCCACTTCTACACTCTCTAAGAAAAATATTTTCCAAATTTCATGTTTCTATCTTCGGTTAAACGTGTTCCTTCTTAGAAATTTATTTTTAAAAATCTCGTCTTAGTGCACCTTTACAACCGCCAAAGGACATATCTTTAATGATACTGATGATCCTGTATATGTTTTTTTACACTTATTTAATAAAAATTCTGGTGCACTCTGTATACGTTATAACTTATAATTAATGATAAACATCTGCAAGTACAGTTGCGGACAATAAAATCTGAGCACTGATTTGACATTTTATTACTTTTTAGCAACCTAGTACCCAATATCCCTAAATTCTAAACAGTGAGATCATTTCCGATTTGACTGGAAAGTAAGTTTATCTCTTTTTAGTGAGAGGCCAATTGCTACAAAGGGTAACAGAAGAAGATGCCATAAAGGTTAGTGCATTTTTATTTATTTATTGCAAAGTGAAGTGTGTGAATTTGTGATTTTTGAGTGCAACAGTAAGTATTTATTAAATTATGAATAAAAATTAATTGTGTTTTCGATAAAATGGTTTAAGTGAAATTGATTGAAATTGATTGAAAACATGTGAAACATGAAAAATGTCAAAGTTATAACAATAATCGTTCCCCAATTAGATTTGTTTTAAAGTAAATCTCTAACGTTTAAAATTAAATTATTGTAATTAAAAAAGCAGTCCTTTTAACAACTTCTATTGTTGTTAGAAAATGTCTCAATATTAACGAAATTCATTTTAATAATGTCAATAATACGAACTTAATTAATAATTCATTAAGTAGCGAGGCGGAAGATCTGTAGTGACGCTAGATATTGGAATATTAGGGGATTTTTTCTTACATTAATCTTATTTCAACAATTAAACATTATTACTTGATAGCAATATCCGTAATGGTGAATCTTGCCTGACTGCATGTCTAAACCGCCGGGTCAGTGGAGTGTAAAGGTGGTGGAAATTATTTGTCAAAAAATTATGTCTTAAAATAATTATCTGCCAAATGGTTTCTTCTTCTTTTGCCGGGTCAAACAATAATAATAAAAAAAGTGAAGTGTGTGAATTTGTGATTTTTGAGTACAACAATAACTATTTATTAAATTATGAATAGAAATTAATTGTGTTTTATTATTTCCCAAATTCTATTTGAAGAAATTTGTAAAAAAACGCAATACGCAATTACAATAAAAAGATTCAATTAATTTAAACTAAAACGAGTGCAGAAGTGGATCGGTAGCACTGCACGTACTGCCAACATCATAATCCCTAACTGTGACGTTTTGTTCCCAACAGTAAATTAGTGGAATTTGTAAAACTAAGGTTACCATTTTTTAACAAAAAATCTTAGTAAATTGACAATATTTAAAGGAAATTAATAACTTGTTTTATTTAAACACAAATTGTATTTGTATTAATTTTGCAATAAAAAGAAAACTACAAAAACTAGGGTTTTCATTAATGTTCTTCACTTATCAACATTAATTCTTTGTAGTAGATGATTATGATAAAGAAATCTAATTTATTTATGAGTTATGAAAGACAATTAAGTATACAGAGTGTTTTCTTAATTTAGCGAAAAATACACGAAGTTATGAGAATTTAAATTTTGCACTTTGACTCTATTTATTTCTGTTGGAAAAATAATTTTTTAGTTTTCTTTTGTTACAGGAAGAGAAAACAAGGAAGCAATATCCTAAATTGTAACTCTGTTCAATGTTATTTGTGGATTTTATTAGCAAAATTTTTGTACCTCTACTAAATAATTATATACAAGATCATCAGTATCATTAAATACACATAAAAAAATGTCAAATGTCTAAAAATAAATGTCAAAATTTTTTGACAGATAGAATTTTTTAAACATTTTTTCCATGTTCCTGGTGTCATACCAGAAATTTTTCTCTGGGGCGCGAGTTCTGACGCACCCTGTATAGATAAAAAGAAGGTAAGATACGTTGATATTGACGACGTACTTTATAGATAAAGCGTATTTTAACGGCAGCATAAGAGGTAAGCTTAAATGCACCATAGAATTAGTATTGCAAAAATACATTTTTCAAAATTGTCATTTTTATTTTAATGATCCGAATGTTCTTTTTGTAAGATACTTCAACGTTCCTGAAAATATGGATTTGTCAAGATTAAGTAAAGCTCAAAGGTAATATTGTTTCTTTTGGGGTGTTTCAAAATAAAAGCGAAACTCTTGGTTTGTTTATTTGTTGTATTTATTTTGCTTATTAAAAACTTAGATTGCGAGTCGGTATAATTTATTTTGTGCTTGAGATTTTTGTTGGAGCTTATGGACCGGGAAAGTTGCTCCTAATCCGGCAATTTTTTCACGTTAGGAGTGAACAGAGACTCGCTTTTAGTCCCGAGCAGCGAATTAAAGTCTCTCCCTCATCTCTTTTCTTAACTCAATTAAACATAATGAAATCAGGTAAGAATTCTTCGACACTTTAATGAATAACTCAATCCCAGTAGATAATACAAACTTCTGAAACAGTCTTTCAGGATAATTGTGTTTCTGTCGATCAAATTATACCCCGGTGTTTAAAGCTCCGTTAAATTCAATTATGTAAAAGAATTTATTATTGCGTTATACTTTTTGGGGGAGATTTTTCGTAATCAGCACCGGGGGTACGATTAAGTTTAGCAAAAAGCGTTGACCGGAACACCGAGCCGAGCTAAACCACAACATGAAAATAATCCGGTCAAAGCTCTTTGTGAGTAAATGGTATGGATGCAAATTTTTCGGTTGATTAAGGAAGCGATGGTGGATTTAATTACCTGTCCAGGGCGATTGCGACCAGGTGCAAGATCGAAGCAGTGCAGCAAAGGACGTCACTGGATGTCCACATGTCGCAAAGCTCGGGCCCAAGAGTCCACTCTTGACTAACTTCATAGACTGCCCCTAGGGGCATCACCAAACACGCCACGAGGAGATCCGCCACTGCCAAGGATAATATTAAGTAGTTGGCTACGTTCTGTAGATTTCTTTCCAGTAGAATTGCTGCTATCACAAAGACGTTCCCTGAAATGAAGACAGTTTTTTAGCATCTCAACTGTTCGAAATTGAAATATGATTTAATATTTCAGTCACTTTGGTACTTTTTACAGATGCTTGCTGTCAGAAACGGTTTTCTTCTCATTTTATTTATTCTATGGTGTGTTAAACATATTTAAATAGGAGTGGCATTTAGCTTTCCCTCGTTTCCCACATTTGTTTAATTTGTATTCCGTGAGGAAACGTCGTAAAGCTGCAAAAGATACGACACAAACATTTCCTTTTACAATGAAAATGAATAACAGCTACCTTTTTTGTTAAAGTAAATTCTATGGAATGTTAGTTAGTATTCCGTACAAGGCTTTGAACGTACATTTGTGATGTTATTTTAAGACAATTTTAATAATCATTTAGAGGGTAGTTCGATATGTTTGCTGCTATCTTTGGGCTTGGCTTTTTGAAACTTTTATAAGGGTTTTCGCACCACCACTTCGCTATATAAATAATGTATTTATTGTATATTCTCTACGGAAGGGAAAATTTATACGTGAGGAATTATTTACATTGAAATGGAGGACATTATCGTTTAAGAAACGTGTTGGAAAAGTGCAATATTGTAAAATTCTTTAACATCTTGTTTTATTAAGCACATTTTTCAACTTTCAAATAAACTAAATTTTTGTTTCAGAAAGGAGAAACTTGGAACCATGAGCAGAGTTGAATGAAATTTTAAGTTTTATTAAACTAATTAAAAAAATTAAACAAAAAGACATTCAATTTTGAAACAATAAATTTGTGTTAGATATTATTTTCTTTAGTCCTGCATTATTGGATCTGTTTGATAAATTTCCAATAAAAGAAAAAAATTTTAACTTTGTGTAAGCCACGTTGAAATATTAGGAGTTATACAAAACCCTTGGCAACTTCTTTTACTTTCTGAAGTTTTCCTTTAATCATACACCTTTGTTTACTTTATTTGTATTGCCATTATTCGTCTAAACAATGTAGCAAGTTATGTGAGCTGAAATATTGGCTATTGATTAAATATAAAATTTTAACAAAATGCCATCAAGAAAAATTGAACGTTTACGAGATGCGAGATTTTACAAGTTTCTTTGTGGCGTGTAGCTTTGAAATAAACATGTGTGTAAAAATTACATAAATCAAAATTATAATAGCAAATGTGTTGTGTCAGTCATATTTTCAACACATAATTTAAATTTAATCATCTGTCATGTCTGGGTTATTTATTACGATAGATGAATGTGTTATTTAGGTTTGAAATTTGGGTAAAAATATAGTTTGTGCACGAATTATTCTATTTTACTCAAAACCGTTTTGGTGGTTCAAAGGAGGAATTAAAATGACATGATAAGTGACACACCCACTCTTGAATATAATAAAAAAAATGAAAATTTAACGTCTTCGTTTTTGAATAATTGGAAAAATTGGAAAAAAAAATTGGAAAAAAGGCTGTTGTATAACATTTTTGAAAAGCGCTTGTTATGGGCTTTCCAACGATGTATCGTGCCATTTAAAATTTTCAACTTAAGGTGGCTGTGGCTTGAAGGGTGGGTGGAGGAGCGTCATTTACCATGCCATTTTGATTCCCCCTAAAAACCACCGAAACGGTTTTGAGTGATTCTCAATAACTTTTTTAGTTCTACAGATATTGCCGATTGCAAGTTTTAAAATTGACATCCCGTATATATCGGGTGTTTCAAAAATGTGTGGCATAATTTTAACCACGAATACCCCTCTACAAATGAGAATAGAGAGCACAATATTTACTGACCTAGCTCAAAAAATAGAAAAATTACAGCTTTCCAAAAATCGGTATGGAAAATGATTTTTTGGAAATATTTTTGTTATCGTTTATCCGATTATTATGAAACTTTGCATGTCAAGGGACAAAAAGATACTCTTTGATATGGTGTAAACGGAAGTCTTGTAAAAGCTATAGATTTCCGGTGACAATAGGACCCTTCCAGTTTTTGGGTCATAACTCTTTTTTTCAGCCTATTAACAGATATTTTTGATACCAAAAATCAAAAGCTCGATCATTTTTCATAAAAAAGTACTCTTGTTAATATCGCTAAATTGTACCGTTCTCGAGTTATTTCGGTTTAAACAAAACTCTACACCGCGCTGCAAAATCAAAAAGTATGAATTTTGAGCGTATCATTACCTTGGAAACAATCCACTATGAATGACATAGCTGTCACTGCTGTGGCATTTAATGTCAATTTTATTTAATCCAAAGTAAAATTTGATTATTTCTTGATGATCATAGCAAAACACACGATTATGTGTTGGAAGAAACAATGCATTAACCATCCCGGCCATCACAACATGATCTGAGAATACACCACTGAAATTT